AAATTTGATGAGTTCAAAGTCTTTCCTTGAGGTAGGAGATTAGAGGTTTGTTGTTTATTTGGATGCCTTGCATAATGATTGAGAATTCTTGCTGTTTTGAAATTGGTATAAGGCCTAATTGTTTGTATTAACCAAAGTGATGACAAACCTAGTATGATTTATTTGAGATGAGCTTTAATGCTTTCTCGAGGACGAGCAGTCACTAAAAACAATCTTTTATTTACAAATTCTTTTTTGTCACTAAATGTATAAATTAGAGACAATTTTATATTTTTATAATTTTGTAGTTGAAAACGATCATATCGTCATTAAACATATGCTTTTACCGACAAAAACAAAATTGTCCCTAAAAATGTCATAATTAGCGACAATGAAAATTGTCATAAAAAACAAAGTTAATTTGTAGGTAATAAATAGGCAACTTTGGACAAAGATCATTCTTGTCTCTAAATGTCATACTTTTATGATGAAAATATAATTGTCTTAAAAAATATAATGTAATCGTCACCAAAGTTATATTTTTAAGAATAAAATATTTTGTCACTAATCTCAAGCATCTAATTGCATTTATTCGTAACGATACTATTTACAATTGTAGTTAACTAGGTCTCCATTAGTTGAAAAATTTATAAGAAATTTACAATTATTAAATAATACTAAATACCTTAAAGTATTTTATTTTATACTGAGCAATTATATAAAGTAAAAACAACAATATACTAAAGGAGCAAGATAACTAAAAAAAATTACACACTTTCATATAATAATTAAGAGCAATACAAATGACATTAATGAGATGATATCTCATTATATAATTAGGTAAAATTTATCCAACTTAAAAGTCTAAGAGAGATATACTAAACATTAACAAAACTAAGACAATAAAATGGAGATTGCTTCTCAAAATACCATTGTAGATGCATTACTTTAGCAGCTAATCTTGACTTCCACCTTCCACAACCTGTGTAATAGAAAAAAATATAAGATTTGATTACATACATCATCATATATTATTAAAAGTGGAAAGCTATCATATATCATATATTATTAAAAGTGGGAAGCTAAAAGGAGGAAACTAATAATGAAAAGGATGAGGAGCACATTGAGAAACAAAATGCAAGTGGAAACAATATTGAAGCAGAACAAGTAACACTTCATCAGAGTATATAAGTGAGCACCAAAAAAAAGAAGATGAGAAATCTACTGTGACTGCTAGAATCGGCAAAAAGAAGAAGAAAAATAAGAAAGAGAAAAATTGCCTAAAAAGAAAGGCAAGGTCACTTTCAAACCTCCTATGCCAATAGAAACTGCCAACAAAAACTCCAAAAGGAAAAATCCTGAGAGAGCTACTCCAGAAGAAGAAACGAGCATAAACCAACATATTGAATATGAACAAAGACGGAATAACAGGTTGAAGGATGACACTGTAGACTATGCACAACAAGACAATGCCATTCTGAATGAGGCCAACTCTAAGGATGTTGATCAACAAGCCAGCAAGATAAATGAAGATCAAGAACATTATGATGATGTAGAGGAGAGAACATTCTATCTGACCAGGAAGTTTCTAAAAGCTTGCCTACAGAGATCAAAAACCAAAAAGGTATCCAATTATATGTTGAGCTGAATGAAGATATACCTATAACATATGAAGATGAGAAAATCATACTATCTGATGAGGAAACCACTGGACAAAGTCATAGGAACAATAGGCTTATCACATCAGATGTAGACGAAGAAAATGTACATGCACAATCTTACCTTAGGAAGTAATTAACCGATATGGTATTTCTCCCGATAGAGGTAGAAGCAAATTGAGAAAAAAGTGCCAGAAACAAAGAGGAAAAACAGCCCCTGTCTATACTGACCAAACAACTAATATTCACGATGAGGAACCGCATGGAAAAAGAGAGGATAACGTCAACACTGATTTAAGTGTCAACATTATCTTTATCAAAAAAAAAAAAAGATTCAAGTGTCTCAAAAAATGTTTGTGCTGAAGCTAAAATCCAAGAAGGAGGGCAACTGATAGATGAGTTGACAGAAGATATGATTACTTCTCAAGGTGAACAACATATACTACAATCAGAAAAAAACAGTGGCGTGGTACTTACCAAATCAAAGTTGAACAATGAGGAAGAAAATGCACAAACTTACAGTAAGAAAGCATTTGATAACAATAATAACCAGACTCTTCTCCGGATGATTTCATAGTTGCTACACATGGTGAAAAACAGAAGCTGCAATCAGATGATGACGCTGCTGAACAGAGTCACAGTCACATGGAGCTCACCGACTCTAACTTGAACAATGAAGAAGACCGTACTCAACCTCATCTCAAAGATACGTTTGATTACGACGGTACATCTACTATCAAAAGAGGCAGAAGTAGACAACAAAGACTTGGAAAGAAACTGAGAGATAAGACATTTCCTTCCTCCAAAGGGAGACACTCCAAACAACCAACTTCCTCTAGTGACATGCAATAACATAGCTAATATAATTTCACAAGTGAGATCTTCTTTTAGTTTTATTTTGTGGAAGTAAATAATAGAGCAACGATATGCGCAGGCTCCACATTTTTAGATAGAGATCACACAACAAATAGGTATACTATAGAGTATTCTTTTCGTTACTGAAGCTATATCAGTAATACTAATCAAAAATACTAATTGAAGAATTCTGTTGTTTGGCACCTGCCTTCATTAGGCACAAATTTCCAACCAAGTTCATGCCAAACAAGTTAACTATTAGAAGTTAGCACTTTGTAATTTTTACTCTTACTTCATTTGTCCCCCAAGTTATGCAATATAGAACTTTAGGATAATAAATTAAACAGAACACATTGGAGGTATAATGTGAACTTTATCATTGTCGACTAGGTGGAATCAGTAGAAAAATGACAAGCAAATCAGCCAAGCACACCCTTTCTATATCCAGAAATATTATGCTTGTCAGTTTCTGAATATAGGAATTTCTTACTTATATGTTGTGAGATGTAATTAAATGTAGAGCTCAAGCACACCATATATTCCTTGTTAATGTCCTGTTATTACCAAAAACATACTCACGTCCTTAGTGTCTCTCCACTGATTCACTCTTGATGTTTGGTTATGTGAGTCTTCAAGACCATCCATCATTTCAGGGTTCTTGATGTATTCGTTTCATCTGCAATCGTGAAAGATATTAAATGTGTGCTGATAAATCACAACAAATTTAGATAATTATTTGTTAAGAGTATTCCAACTACGCTAAGGCCTCTTCCCTTAAACATATTTCGTGATCAAAATCCAACAAGAAGAGTAAGCATATGAGCACCAGATATTCAATATACTGGAGGGGGAACAATTGAAAAAGACAAGAGCTAAGTTGTTGTTTCTGAATATATCTCTATTTCTTGTAATACTTATCCAATAAACCTTTATTTCTAGAGTTGACATGATAAACTTTCTTGATTTTAATGAGAAGTATTCTCGAGTAATTGAAACAAGTTGCAGTAACACACCTCGAGCCAATGTTCGAATACCAGGCACTACGGCGCTGAAGTAACCCACACCATACTCCCAGGAAAAGCTCGAACAGTTTTTTGAAGGTAGTATTTAATTACATGACATTAGAGAGAAGTATGCTTTGACCAAAAAAGGGGGAAAACTCGAGAAATTGTTTACAATTTTACTGCGTGTTATATAATTATGTCCTTTCCCGTAGTATTTGGACCAGAGACAGGTGTAGCATGTCGCTACTAGGTTAAGATAAATCCAATGCTTTCCATACATAACATAAGCTTATATGTAAAATTTACGTAATTACAATAAATAGTATATATGAACTCATAACTTCAAAAATAAATGGGTTCAATAATAAGAGTTTTAAGATTGAACCCATAAAACATAAATTCTGAATCTGCCTCTTATTTGAATCACAAACAAGAATAATACAAACAATATTATTTTCACAAACACATAAAGATAAAGCATATAAAAAAATGTATCATGTAGTATCCTTAAAATACCTCTCCAGGAAATTTAAAGTAAAACATACAATATTTACCTTTACAAGATTTTGTTTGCATACTTCATCATCGGGGTCTTTCACCTCATCTGTTTTACAAAATAGAAATAAGAAACTAAAAATAAATAAATTAGTAGCAGGCAATAGTAGATTCACTACCACATATCTTTACCTTTGCACAAACTTCCTTTTATTTTTAGTCAATCTTATTTGTGCCTGCATCTGATACCTATGAAATAAACCTTTCATTGATAGCACATATCGAACACTCCCAATAATTTTGAGAAGAATCCATAGTTTTAGGGTAGATCTGATCCTTTTTACCGAATGTCTCCTAATATTGTTTTTCTAAAAGCTCTTTTGTGTCTTTCATTTCCATAGTTCTTCTTGCTTATACAAGCATCTTCACTGGTTTGCACGGAAAATGCATGAAGTCTAGCAGAGAGAAAAAGAACCTGATGGATTGTTAAAGATACAGAGGTGGGAAGAGAGACTACGGTAACACTCCATCTTATGCAAGGATAGAAGAGGGGTTTTTGACTTTTGAGAGAGGGAACAGAGGATTTGGGGGAAATTATTTGATATTTATGTTTTTACTAGACATAGGATATATATATATATATATATATATATGTGTGTGTGTGTGTGAGATACGGATATAATTTGAAGAGTCAAATTTAAATTTAATATAATTCTTTTAGATATTTGAAGTTCTTAATTATTGTTCCACATAATACTTTTTACGTAAATTTCAAATATTATATGTTACTCCCTCGATCTCGGTTTAGGGGACACTAATAGAATTCAGAGAGTCAACAAAAGAATTTCTTTTATATCTTTTATAATCACATATATATAAAGAGAACCTAGGCCCGCCTACGTGACGCTACCACAAATTAGGATTCCCTTTCAATTTATTTATTTCCAAAATTAGTTTTTCCTTTCATGAAAAGTTGTGACTTTTATGAAAAGTATGTGTAACACTCCAGAAAATTTTTGAACTAAGACTCGAACCCTTCTTCGTTGTGAGTAGGATTTTACCAAGGAATATAAAATTTTTCAAGTGTTAAGGTCAGTGCACTATATATAGCACCTTGAGTTCTAAAAAGAATTAAAGAGAATTCATTCAAGTCATTTTTTATTTCTTTTAAGTTTTGGGTCAACTTCAAATGACCATAACTTTCAGCACTGGATGAGTTAGGAGACCCATAAGATATCAAATGAAATGTCTTGGAATCCTCTTTCCAACACCACCGAGTTTGCTACTTTTCGAGCTCGTATGAGGGATATATGCCCATTTGAAGTCGGGCTGTCCAATTAAGGAAAGTTACCCAAAATATGAGTGGTATTTTGATCCTTTCGTTACCCAATCAGATTTAAACATTTTTGGTAAGGTTTTAGGAGTCTAAATTGATTGGAATCAGTTTTAGTTATTCCTAAAATACGCTTAGGGTTTTTAGAGGAGTTCAATAAGAGAAAAGAAGAGAAAAGAGGAGAAAAGAGGAAAGGTTCAAGGCTTTCGTCAAGATTCTTGCGATTCTTTGAGGGATTTCGCCAAGGATTTTATCCTAAGAGGCATGTAAGCTTCCATAGTGTTGAGTTTGTTCACCCGCACGCCAATCATGAGTTTTTTTTTATGAATTTCACCCATGAGATTGAATACATTGATAATCTTGTTGAGTTCTTGAAGTTTTGTGCTTCATTTTTGATAATGAAGTTCTTGAGGTGAGAGTTGCGAATGAGTGATTTTTTGGTATGTCTAGATTGGGATTTCGATCTAAGTGTGTTTAGTATATGAATCTAAAAGAATTTGGAGGAAATCACTAGAGTTTTGACGAGGTAGGGCTGGAAAATTGAAGAGGAAATCCGTCAAGTTTTTCTTTTAGAACATGGCTGGGGTGGCGCGCCCTTGTTGAGCCTGAGGGGATGGCGCCCTGCGCCTGCAGTGCACCCCAGACCAGCTTCAATCAACTGAGGGCTGGTGTGGCGCACCACTACTGTGCCAGGGACGTCATGTATTTTTCGCCTCCGTTCTTCGTTCCGTATTCGTTCTTTCAAAACATGTCTTCGTTCTCTTACTGATATTTACTATCCAAACTACATATAATCATAAAGAAATCCTATATATCCAGTCATGATCCTTGAATTCATAATTCAAATTCATGGAAGAGTTAAGAGTAAAGTTTGAGAAAGTCCCTTTGAGTACTTTTGAGGAGTCTTCAACAATAACTTATAAATTATTTCAAGACTCAAGTAAGTGATTATGAGAATGAGGAGAATGTATTCATAAGTCTATATTATCATTGAGATCCTTGAGTCGAGTTAAGTCATGCTCATAATTCCGCATGAACTCCATAAATTGAGTATCTTTGAGAGGAATAGTATCTTCAATTTCTAAGTTCTTGAGTACTGAGTTCCTAATCCTTTTTGAAACTATATTTCAGAATTTTGGATTGCTATATGTTATACAAGGAGATCCTTGAGTTGAGTGGGTCATGCCCCTAATACCGCATGAACCCTATGAGTTGAGTATTCATGAAATGAGTAGTATCATTGAGTCCTTGAATTCTGGACTCATTGAGTTTCGAGTACTGAGTTCTATATATGGTTATTGAAAACCTTGAATTGAGTCGTTCACGTCCATAATTCGGCATGAACCCTATTTTGAGAAGTCTTTTACAATTTTTCATTATTTGTTTAAAGGTCTGAGTATATGAGTATGAGGAAGAGTAGAGTCAAGTTTCATTTTCTTTAAAATGAATATATGGGAACTAAGTATTACCAAGAGTAAATGTTTTCACATTTAAAAGAGGAGGAAACTGAATTTTCCAAAAGAGTTTTGAGCAGTTTGAGTACAATCTCTTTTAAGAGAGATTTTTGAGTAATAATCTCAAAACACAGAAAGAGTTATGGTTTCTTTAAAACATGAGCTAAGTATATTTTTGGGAGTATTATTGAGCACCGATAAGGGGGAGTGTTCTAACAACTCATCTCCCCTATAAACCATGTAGCCAACGTGGGTAGAAAGGGCCATACTCTTTAGATGATTCCTTATTACTTTTTAGCATAGACTAGCAGATCCACTTAGTTAGTAGGTTCTATACCCCGTCAAAGTATAGGACTATTCTGGCAGCGTAGGCTAGACGTTGTATCATCACATAGCTCATAGTGATGGTTGTCGGTTCCCCCCCCCCTTTACTGTCACTCCCCAAAGCTACCCCCAAGACGTGGACATGAGACCTAGGACCACGAGGGACCCCAAGCTAACCCTGCTGGCATATCACAAGCATACTAAAGTAAATTGAAGTAAGGAAATACTGTGTAGAAGCTAAATCATCATGTAAGCCAAAATGATGGGGAATACCCATTACTATCTGAATAAATAAACAGTGAGTTTAATGAAACTGAAAAGTCAAACTGAAAAGTTAAAACTGAATCTAACTATATCTGAACACAAGACTCTAACTGACTAGAAGTGCGGGACATGCCCCAACTAAATCTAGCAAAACTGAAACTAAAGACTAAAAACAGAAAAGAAACATGTTTGTCATCCTCGGAGAATGAGGGCTCATCACTGATGCTGCTGAGCTGAAGAACGGGAACCGATCTATGCGCGATCTGGAAACTGAGGACCTGAACCTACATCACGAGAAAATGTAGCGCAGAGTATGCGTCAATACTTGAAAGGTACTGAGCATGCAAGATAGAGTAAAGCTGAACAATAAGCATAACTGAACCAAAGCATATATCTGAGCAATGATAACAGATAAGAATAATACTAAACTAAGAATGTTGAAATATTGATAAAACCTAATGAAATGAGTATGAATGAACAAATGTATGTCATGATTCAACACTTGATGGTATGGTTATGAATATGTACATTATGAGTGTGAATATGATTGTGGTGGTATTGATTGGATCGGGTATCACGTTTTGACACATACATTGGATTGGGTGTCACGTTTCGACACACATATTCAATCGAGTGTCACGTTCTGTCACACTAATTGGGATCGGGTGTTACGTTCCGACACACTAACAGTTTGGGTATGGGTTCCACGAGAGGACCATCTGTGATAGTTGTGTTATGTCATGTCTACTTGATATGGAAGTTGGGACACAGTTTGACGCCCTGAATGATAGTTGATCTATGCTTTCTGTAGATGTATGTTAATAAGTTGTGTTGGTTCATTAAATATATCTCGTTACTGCATGAACAATAATGGTCAGGTCAAATCAGAAGGTGGTATAGTAAGTGGAGGCTGAGTTTCCAATGGTTGCTATATATTCATACTTTAGGAAGGTGGTTTGTGTCCCTAAGTTAAGAATTGGGGTGGTGTTATGTTGTAATTAAATGGTAGGTATTACCGGGGGAGGGGATTGGTATTGAAACGACTAACAAGCCTTGATAGCACGTGCTATGGCGTCAAGGGTTGAGTGGTGATGTGGAAGAATTAAGTGTACGTCGTGAGTGGTTTTCCTAACTGGTAGTGGTTGTATTCGGGAACTCTTCTAAGAGGTAAAATGTTTAAGTTACAATCAATAAAGGAATGAGTAAAAGGGTTAGAGCCAAGTGTACTAGTATATGCTAAATTATTCAGGAATGGAAAGGATATGAGGATGTGAAGGTGGAGGAATGAATAGTCTTATTGCATGTTTCCTACTTGTCGTTTTCTTATATTATGTGGTGGGCATCGAGTTGTCTGATGATGCCTACCAGTACGTGTGGTTCTACTGATACTACTCTTGCTAAGCCTTTTGGGCATAGTTTGGTTGCAGGGTTAGTGATGTTTCATAGGTGAAGATGAAGACAATCTCCAACAGCTCTTATTTTTCCTTCCATGTGGTGGGAGCTGCATCATATGTTATTACGTTATATGCCTTGTAAATCTTTAAAGCTCTTGTACCTGTTTAGACTAGATCCCTGGGGGTGTTAATTACTTTACAAGTCTTAACTCGAATTGGTGGCAAAGCTCTTTATGTTATAAAAATCTTATGAATGTTATTTATTCTCCAGTTTTCTTAGTCTTTCACATGTTTTAAACAATTTGGGAATTGAGGGTTCTCCTACTTAGGTGTTAGAGTAGGTTCCCATATGGCCTAGTGGGTTGGGTCGTGACAATAGGATTTCTCATTGATTAGATGTAGTTGGGATAGTTAAACTCAGGAAGAGAGCGAAGATACGTTTTAAAAAAACTTAGACGGAACAATCGACGGAAAAAGGTCGGGGGCAGGCGACCCTGGCGCACTGAGTGGTACGGGGTGCCAACCCCTAAACTACAGAGTACCATATCTGGCGCACTGCTGGTGTGGCGCGCCATCCCCCCGGTGCATTGGTGGCGCATCGTCCCAGGCCCTGCCCTGAAAACCCGATGACCTCTCCTCTTCGATTTTTGGCCCTAATTCACCGAGAATCAATTGATTCTTCTCAAACTCTTTTAAATTCATATAACTGATATACCGTGAGTTTACAATATTTTTAATATATTTCACTTAAGAGTTGTGTGTGTCTAGAGCCATTTTGTATTGGTATTAATGTGTTTTTATCGTGTTTGCAGGAAATAAGTTCGG